GTGTTGGGTTAGTAAGGCAATTTTTTAAGGATTTGTTTCTTCTTTCAAAAATTAAAGAATCATTTGAATCAAATTATATAACACTAGTTTTAATTTTTTAAAAAAGTCGTTATAATTATATAAATTTATAATATTGAACAATTTTTCATTTAAAACAATAATTATTATTTTGTTGTAACAAAAATAATATAAAGTTTTTTTTCTTTTGAACGTTTGAATGTGAAATCTAAAATTATTTGTTATTTGTTAATGTATAAATTTAAATAAACAAATCTGATACAAACTTCAATAAATAAATTATAATTGAAAAATCTTCTTAAACTTACTGTATTAAAAAGTTTAATAACAAATATAAATTTAATAAATTTTAATAAAAAAATTGGTATTAGGCGCAAAAAATAATTAGCCATAATATCATTTAGATATAGATCTTTATGGATCAGCAAAATTATTATTAATAAAAAAAAAAATAATAAAAATTTCATCCGGATTCCAGGTCAAACCGGATATTTTTCATCCGGTTTATAATCCGGATGAAAACCGTGAAAATCCGGATATCCGAAAAAAAAAAAATCTGGATCAATCCGGATTGATCCGGATACGGGTCGAGGCACTAATTACACTGACAATCATTCATTTAACGGTTAATACGGTAACCGGTTAAGGATCTTTTTTGGCCGATCCCAAATTTAGTATGGTGAATGATTGGTTAATGATATCATATTTAAAAATACTAACAGACTAACACCAATTTATTTCATGAACAAGCCAATAAAAAAACACAATGACTTATTTTAGTATAAATATGGACATAAAAGAATAAATAATTACTGCGTTTAATCGGCACTTGTACAATTAACAATTATTATACTTTCAAGACGCCGTTCTTAATCATAGTGACGCTAATTATTGTTCAACCAAAGGCTAGTGCAATAATATAAGAGAGTCAGCGAAAGTAATAGGCAGCATAACGAAATTTTGGTCTTAAAAAATTTTACATTTACCATTTATTATTATTTGGCACAGCAAAAAATACCAAAAAAAGTTTTCATACTTTTTAATGAATCCTTTTTAATATTAAAAGCAAATTTTCAATGATTAAAAAAGAAATTGATTGCGTAAATATACTTACTTATTTTAGCTAGAAAAAGTACTTTTTTTATCTCAACTCTGTCCCAAATCCCAACCTCAAATCCAACCTAAACCTTGAACAAATTGAGATTTGGGAAAAGGTTAGCAGGCTGATCATTTTGGCTTGAGTTAAGAATTTAAGATCACTAGATTAAGTAATAATTTGTAAGGTGTTTGTTTACCGGTTCCACGGTTCCAAACTTTAACTTTAATTGTAATTTGAAAGCTTTGAATAAATTCAAAAAAGCGAATCAATAAATAAAATGAATGACTAAAAATGTAAATTATTTATTTGATATTTTCCTTATAAATATAGAGTTTTTTTTTTTTACGGTAGTAAAATTTTTTTCTTCAAGTTTTCTTAGTTTTCTTTTAAAAGATTTTTTTTTATATTTTGGTACAATAAAGAGAATATATGGATTATATGGATGATCCAGAACTCGGAAACCTTACATTCGGAGATTATGTGGCCATTAGCCCAGAAGGTTCGATAGTGGCAACGTTCACCCAAGAGACCCGACGTAAGTTATAATTTATGTATGGTAACTAGTTTTCTATTAAAATAATAAAAAAAAAATGTTGAGCTTTCCCTAACTTTTCTTTCAGATGACTATTCCATAACAATTAAAGAATTGGCGACAAGCAAAGAAAAAAGAATAACTTTTAATTTGGAACGTGACGATAAAACCATTGGATGGTCTTTAGCTGTTTCAGATATCATTAATAATAATGAAATTGGCGTAGTTGCAATATCTTGTATTACTGAAAAAGATATGAAACCAAAAAGAGATGAGGAAATTAATAAATATCAAATATTATTAAAAATAATTATCAATCAGATAAATATGTTTTCTTATTTTTTTGGTAATATAAAAAAAGGACTAAGAAGGAATATTAAAAATTTTTTCTTTATCATTTATCCTCTACTTTTCTTTTTTTACTTAATACTACGTTTTCTCAGTTTTGTGGTTTTGCTTACTTACCCGAACTTCTTTTTTAATTTTTATCCATTCATCTTTTATTTCTTTTCTTCTTCCTATATTGATAAAGATTATGATAAACAATTTCGACTATCCCAGGTTCCTAGCGAGGGGATGACAATGCTTTTCAAATTTTCATTTAACAATAATAACAATTATAATGACACTAATAATAATACAAATAGTGACGCTAATAGAAATGATAATGATAATACCGTGAAAAATTTTGGTGGGGTTGTTTGTTTTTTAAAAAATTCTTCGAATAGTGCAACACTTGTCTGTACGAATTGTATAAAAATACAAAAGAAAGAGATTAAATTAAATGAATTAAACGAATTAGACGTACGCGAAAAGGGTGGATATATATTACCTGAAAATTTATTTAAAGAATTGGAAAAATATGATGATTCGAGAGGAGATTTGAGCAATCGGAATAATTGGAAATATCTTTTAAAATCTAGATTTCAGGAATTTTTAATGGTTGACACAAGCGATTACCAACAAATACAAAGTATTGAAATATACAATATTGATACTTCACAGTTAGTGAATGTTTTTCACAGAAATCGAGGAGAAAAAGATTATATAATTTCAAAAAACAATGAACCCGGAATTTTTGCAATATCAACTGATTCAAAATTATTTGCTTATTCTTATGGAGACGACAACATTACAATTTATTTGATGGAAAGTGGTCTTGAGGTTGTTTCGAAAAAATTTGATAATATTCATAAAATTAAATTTTTAGAATTTATTGAGAAAGATGAAAAATTGTTTATTATTGAAAAAGACAAAAAAAAAGGTGTAAAATTTCATATTTAGCTTATATCAGGATGTTTAAATGATTATTTTCCTATTTCTAGTATTCCAATAAGACATAATGATAGAAATTATCATACTTTGACTAAAGCAAATGGAAAAATAGTTTTTCTTAATCATAATAATCAAGCTGAAATTCTACCAAAAACAATTATAGAAAGATCCACCTTTGGAGAAAATGATGTGACCGATGAATACGAGTATAATTCACATGATCTAGAACCATGGAATAATAATACAGAGACTATTACACCTATTCGTGGTAGATTTCTTAATATAAATGACAGAAAATTTCTTCTTATAATTGGTCAAAATAGTATTCAAGTATGGAAGTCAAATTCCCAAAATTTTAAAGATTTTGAAGATTTTAAAAATTTTGAAAATTCGAATCTTGTTTACATATTAATACATGATAATCCAACTAAATTTCAAATAGATGATGACATGACTACTGTTATAACTAATGCATGTAAATCACTTGCCTATCTATATAACCGTACAAAAACTAGTATTAACTCTAAGGAAAAATGTGAAAAATTTGTCAGTGGAATCATAACCATTATTAAGGACTTTATCGAAGAATATCCTGATAATTGGAAACTTATGGAAGTTCAATATCCTTTAATGGCATATCTAATTTATTCACGTTCATTTTCTTTAATAAAATACATTCTGTTTGGAGTTGAGTCTAAAAAGAAAAATACTGGTTTGTTACACAGACCACAAAATAAATATGGTTCTTACCCATGTTACGATAATTTTATGTACGATTTAGATACGTACTTAAAATCAGCTAAAGTTTTAGATAAGGACTTAAAATCAGCTAATGATTTAGACTTAGCTTTGAAATTTTGCCAAGGTTGGCGTTTTCTTATTTATTATTTATCATTAGCGTATTTTGATCCTAACATTTATTATCTATAGACCAAGATGCTGTTATGTTGGCATATCTATTAGAATATTATTCTGAGAATTCCATGGATCATATTGGTTGGATGATTAATGTTACAAAAATTCTTCCAGAATTATCTAAACATGATTATGGTATATATTTGTTATATAATAATTTTAATTATCCAATTAATTACAATTATTTTTATTAATATAAATTTTCATTGTATTAGCAAATTATATGGATTTATTACTTTATAAACCTTGTTTTGGAGAAATGAAATTCAATTTTCCAAATAAAACATTTAATTCGCTATCGGTTAGCCAAGATACATTAAAAGTATATATACCACTTACTCAGCTTATCTCAACAGATCATTTGACTATTTTGAAATGCATGAAGTACAAAAAAATAAGGTAAAGATCATTTTAACTAGTATTTAAACCGATTCATTATTTTAAATTTATTATTGGCATTTTCATAATATAGATACGATAAATTACCCGACATTTGTATGATTCCACTACCAAATTTTACAACTTATGATACAAAAATAAAAGATGAAACTGTTCAAGTAGGAGTACTTAGAACATTAACTGGAATTTTGCTCGGATTGAGAAATATAATATTTCCACATTTTTATAAGAATAAAGATTTTAGCCCATATCTCCAAGTAGAAAAAAATATTGATACATTTTTTAGCATTCCGGCCATGGAAGCAGTTATAAATTCAAGATGGAGTCAAACAAAACAATATTTGTTGATATCTTTAATTTATTACATTATATTTTTAGTTTTATTTTCTGTTCTTTCTTGGCTTTATTTAAATAATGATATTAATGATAAAAATAAGTACTATTTTTTAATTATGATCCTAATATTTTATTATTCTGGAATATATTTATTATTAGTTGAAATTATACAAATGATAAAGTATAAAGGCAAATATTTTACATTATTTAATATATTTGACCTATGTAGTGTCATTTTAGGTATGATTATATTTTCTATAATTTTGGCAAATTCATTCAGTAGTAAAATTAACGGGCTCAATTATGAATGGATGATTTTCGCAACATCAGTAACTGCCTTTTTACTTTGGATTGAAATGGTATGTTTAATGTATTCAATTATCATATACGAATTTTTAAATTGATTTTATATATTAATTTATTATTTTCTTTACTTTCTAAAGCTTTTAAGGTCAAGATTATTTTCAGAGATAGCAATAAATATATATATTTTTGGAAATATTTTAGGAAAAATTTTACCATTTTTTGCATTTATGCTTATTTTAATTATGGGAGTTGGGCATTCAATGTAACTAGTGATCTTTTCTTTCTTTTTTTTTTTTTATTATAATTTTATGTACAATCTTTTTATATATATTTATAAATTAGGTTTATTCTTTTTGGATTTTCATCACTTGTTGATTCACAACGGTCAAACTCGAGTTTTACATTAAAAAACGGAACTGATAATTTTACTTTAACAGAAGAGACCCCTAATAACCCTTTCGATACACCATTAGATGCTATACTTTCAGCATACAATTGGGATTCAACTAATTTACTTCCTTATAAATATTGGGCATTGCAATTATTAGCATTCATAGCGAGTGTTGTTATAGTACTTATATTATTAAACATGATTATTGCATTAATGAAGTAAGTAATTTATTTATTAAATATTGTAATATTGTATGTATTTTATTTATAAATTATTATTTATTCTTTAAAATTTATTTAGTGACACATTTAATAAGGCTAAAGAAGATGGTAAACTTGGATTATTAATATTTAGATCAGAACTTATTAATGATTATGAAAGACTTAACGTTGATAATCCTTTCTTTGGCGAATCATTAAATGATAATTTACAATCCCCATATATTTGTTTCCGTCAAGATCCTGACTTAATGAAAAGATGGAAGAAAAAATCTAGAGAGCTTAAAACGAAAAAATTATATTCATGGTTTAATGAAAGTGCTGATAAAGAAAAGATAACTTTTGACATTAACCTTTGGTATGAGGCACTTATTTCTGGTAATGAAGATTAAGGATATTTGTATCTATAGCTTCTAGTTCATCAGCTATGACACACTAGTTATTTATTGTATTTAGAATTTTATTTGTATATTTTGTTAATGTATTTTTTATATGATTTTTTTCAATAAATTTTACTCTAACTACTATATGATATCCAATGAGTAAATAAGTTCATTAACATTATTTTCTTTTGAGAATATTAGAATCCGCCAATATGACACGGTAAATATTGTTTTCTAATCTTATTGTTTCTAAGTCCAAAACTTGGTCTGAAGCCTTGTGGTTGTATCATTCTCTTCTATGATGTTGGATATCTGATACACGTGCATGGGATCATTTATTATGTATTGATTATTTGATGCATTTGCATTTTTATCATGTTTGTTGGTAGAGATACAATTTACTTCTAATCTGTCATTGTCTTGAATTACGATTTATTTATTGTGAATATTTGGCTTAGGAGACTTTGGAAATCGAGTTGTTATTTGATAGTCAGCAAACAAAGTTTAATTGTGCTGATTTTTTAGAGTTCATTCCTAGAATTTTACGCCATAGTTTGTGGAAATTGACATTTAATTGCCCATTATCATAGAAATCGCCAATTGAATTTCTTTGTGTTTCATTATAAATACGAGTCCAAAGAAAAAGAAAGATCTTGGAAAGTATGTCTAATTTTTGGTTGATATCGTTTAGGTAAATGATTTTAATTGTCAATCGGTATAAAATGATAGTCAAAATTGAATGATGATTTCCTCACAAAATTACGAAATTTGTCAATTTCTAGCCGAAACTACTTGAAATTTTTACTGAAAAAACCTAAATATTTGGGTTTTATCATCTAAATATTTTAACATTACTTTCTTAAAGTTTCATAAATAGTTTCTAAACATAGTCAATTAGTCAAAATATCGATGACATTTTTTGTTTAACGAAAGTATTGTAAATTAACTAACACATATTCACCTTTAAAAAATATGATAATATATATTTAAAAAAAGTAAATCAAAAAACATGAAAATTTTCGCACATTCGGATTAATGGCTTTTCACTTTAATGCGATCAGCCTGTTGTGTAACCACACTCTGATTTTCACGAACGCTTCTAATAAAACATTTTTTGCTATGTCCATTCCTTTATGATTACTCACGTTTTCATAAAATTTTTACTGTAAACTATACACCTAAAAAGTTATTAATATGATAGCTACCAAGCAAGAGTTGGTAATTAAGCTATGTAGTTTTACAGATTTCCACTTTTATACTGGTCACCCTATCTAGTTGACAAGTTATCTAAATTTAACTAATCATTATCATCCATAGGTTAACAGAATAATAGTAGTAATTATAAACAAGTAAACGTTAAATATGATGGGAGCTTTAATAGCCTATTCAAAATAGATTCTGCCCTTCACTTCAGCAGTAGTTAAATATAGCCTATCTTTTCTTCTTGTTATCATAGTTGCATTGTTATCGTTTTCTTTGCCAGTTACAGAAATAATTGTGTCCCCCATTTTGATCACCCAATCGATGGGTCTCTTTCCATGACTTCCGGAGACTTCATACTAAGGATAAACTTTTACAGTGCAATCGAAGATGGACGCCACATCATGTATAATCGCAGAAATAAATTCACGTATTTACGCTAGTGATGGGTGGAGAAGCCTTATGCATTCTTAAAAACTCCTCAATCACACTGTTCCTAATCTCTTCCGGAGTTACTAAATTTCCAATCTCAATACATGGTAATTGATCATAGCTATCAGCCTTCAAACCGAAAGAAACTTCATCTTTGGGAGAGTATACAAAGAGAAAGGTTGTTGCGCCATAAAAAAAATAAATTAACTGATCAGACATTTTGTGTAATCGACACGTGAATATCCTAAATATATTGATAGTACTTACACGTGTCCGCAACTATTTCCAGCACCTTGGGGTTATCAGTCCAGATAATGCTCAATAAATCCTCGTCAGCAGAAATTGAGGAATTTTACGCGCACTTTGGGAACTTGAACTTACCTGTTTAATTTTACGCATTTTACCTGTTGAAATTTTTCTCTTCAAGATCAGAACTGCCTATTACGATATAGTGTTTCGATCTGGATAAAACTGTTATCCGGATAAAATAATTATTTTATCTGGATGAAATAGTTATTAAAATAAAATTTGGGTTAAAACTTATTATTTTAAATTTCGCACAATAATCACATTCGTAGCATCAAGTGCTTTCAAACAAGCTATCATAGAGTTCTGACCATTAGTCCCCGAAATACTTTAAATTATCTGGAACTTACAATTCGGATATAACCGCGGATAATTGGATAAAATCTGGATAAACCAGTGGATCGAAGATATGCTCATTTCTGTCCCATTCATATATTCTCAAAGCATCTTCTTAAAACCTTCCAACGTCACCATTTCTCGGGTTACTGTCCATTGAAATTTACATAAAATTACACTCTTACGCCTATACGTTGCGGTGCAGTGAACTTCTTCTCAACAGGATGTTGTACGATGATATGCATGTGCTCGTCCGCTGGTTGGGAAGGAAAGTGTTTGTTAGTTTTCGAAAGAGGAAGCAGTTCCACCTCACCAAACTCGTCCTTAATATAAACGTTAATTTTTGTGTCGACAGAGATTATTAATTTATTGTTTTCTTCTTCGAGGGAAATGTTGACCTCCCATAACTTCAGGGACGCTGTCAAGGAAAAAATTGACGATAATATTAAGGCAAAAGATCTTAAGAAACTAAATAGCTTCGTTGTATCTATTTCAACTGCGAAAGCATTTTCATAAGGGTTTTCACCTACGACTGACAAAGCAACTGAGAGTGATAGTTGACTTGGCGCTTCTATAGGAATATTTGTCTCAGATAAAAATAATGTTACGTTCCAAAGTGAGAAATGTTCCACAATTATATTTTTATCCAACTTGGCAATAACTTCATCATACTGATCGGATTTAAGTTCCTCCACATCACATGACTCCAATCGTGAAGAATCTTCACGGTTTTCAAGATTACATGCTAATTTGGATGCATTAACTTGCAGTTGCTTTGATAAGACGCAAGATGCTGATCTTATGTTCTCAGAACTGGCCACATAAGATTGTGATAATTCTTGCTCGTCTTGCTCAGAAATTTTAGTCACATTCTGAGAAATTACGAGTGCCTCTTGATCTCTCTGCTTCTTTTCCCGCCTCCTCTCTCTAATCTCATTGCTAATGCTTTTCTTATACGCCTCATCCAAGAAATCGACCATTTTCTCATCGTTACCATCAAGGTCACTAGGTACTCGTCCTACTTCATTACTGAGTTGGTCTATCACAGAATCGGGTACATCAACAGTTGGTACCATCACCACTGGTATCGCTTCTTCACCGTTTTGTGTCTGACCAAATGACAACGCCATCCCATCCACTGCTGAACTCTGTTCTAATAATGCAAGTCTAGCCTCAAGCTCTCCGACTCTAGACTTGAGTTCAGCATTCTCAGAATCACGCCTTGCATTCTCTTCAATAATTTGCCCTGTCTCTTATACACATCAGAATCACGCCTTGCATTCTCTTCAATAATTTGCCTCAGCTTCGCGTTCTCAGCCTCAACCTTAGTAACTTCTCTCTAAGTTCAGGAATCTCAGCATTCTCTTTCCTAAGTTTGGCGATCTCAGCTAGGAGCTTGGCATTTAATTCTCTCAATGAATCAGTGGATTGCATGTTCGATAATAATTTTTTATATAAGATGGAATAATTCAAAAGTTCGTTAGCATAGATACGAGGTAATATCCTTATCGGAATTACTGATTTATTGATGTAAAAAATAAATTACAAGATTCGTAATACATAAACTTGTTTTACAAAGCGAAATAAAACCTCTATACTAAATGCCTGCCAGTGTTTCGTTCAGCTATCTACATACGCTATCTACATACTAACACAATATCCTAACATTAACTCTAATTTTATTTATTCCAACGTCGATATTCTGGATAGAATAAAATGGTCGTCAATTATGCATAAAATACGCGAAGTCAGAAATAAATTAGCAATATTAAAACTCACCAAAAGTTTATGTTCTCTGTCTAATAAGGTCCTCGAAAGTTCTGAACAAAAAATTAGATATTGACTTTGCAAGCTCTGAGTCGCTTCCTTGTAAATGCACATTGCACAGTCATAACCGAAATATTCATATCTTATATTGCGTAGTCTTGTCCGGAACATTAGTTTCGCCGATCAGGAATTATTTTGATTGGCACTCTCATGTGACATTGTGACATGTGGCTGATTTTTGATTAATAAATTTTTTTCGTAATTTTGTATTTGATCCTTGACACATCGCTGACTCAATTCGCAGTCACAGTTCGTAGCAATTAGTCAACAACATTTTATGGAAACATATATATATATGAAATATAATCAAGATGTCAAGCTATTCTTCGCTATCTCGAGTACATTAGCCGTTCCGGGTACAAACTAAATTTGAGGAAAATTCCCTATCTGCCAGTTCAACAAAAAGGTCTTTATTTTATACTACTGGACTATTAATTTTTTTGACCTTGTTTTAACTCTCAATTTCCGCGTTTGCAGATATATGGCCGACATTACGTTATATTGTTACCTTCTAGATACTCCTATTGATAGTGCCATTCCGGTTGACATTGGCGAAACGACCCGCGTTGAAGGAGTTGATGTCCCTATTAAAAAGTTCTCCTTTGGACATCTCAAGAAACAAATATGGCCCAACAACAATGAAGCTAATAAACTGAGGCTATGGAAGTTCGAAACCCCTTTCAAAAAAGATAATGAGCAGTTAATAACACTTAACGAGAATTTTCGTAATGATGCATACCTTGATTACTTGGTGAAGATTTGAGCCCAGGTGAATTGATTAGAACGATTTTTCCGGTTGGTTATGTATTTCCACCTAATCACATCCATATCGTCGTACAACCGCCCCAGCCCGCCACCACTGGTAAGTGTCTCCCAATGGTTTACCTCTCGAACAAGAAATTCGCGTTATCTCATCGAGTTTGATCTAATGTCATTTTTTTTCCGCGTTAAAGCAGGTGTTTCGCGAGGCATTACACAAGGTACAGCATCTTTTTTCGTAACCCGTTAAATGATTTGCTTGTTAATAATATTCATTTTTTTACCATCAGTGATACCGCCCGAACCTGATGTTATTTTCAAAAAATTTCTTGAAAGTAAACACGGCCAGTTCCTCGAAACATACATAAGAAATAATGATGCATTGCCATCATACAGCCCACCAATAGATCTTAAAACAACTGTACCTGCTTCCTCTAAAGGTGATCGTCCTTCATTATTACTCCACAATCTCTCTGGAGATAATAGCATAACAATTAATCCAATTACTCAAGTTACAACTATTCAGACTGCAATGAGAAAAGCAAAGAACAACCTGCTAGTTCTGTTGGGTACATCTGGATGCGGAAAGACACGAACATGCTACGAGTTGCTTTGTGAAAACTGGGGATTATATTTTGTAGGTGCACGCAAGGGAAATGGAGGTTCGGGTGATATTGAGGAAATTGAAAATTACCTTTGGAAAAATAGTAAAATAACAGAAAATTTTGAAGATAATCGCCGACATGCAGATCATGTTGTTCGTTGTTTAGTTCTTTCTCGATTGCTTATATTAGATGAGTGTATCAAATCATCATCAACATTTAATCCACAACGCTGGCTCCTGTTACAGACCTGTCAGAAAATATTCGGATCCCTTTATAATTATGCTGATTATTTATTTAAAGTACTTACATTTATGCTCACCGATTGTACACAAGTCTCCTTAGAAATCATTGATACCATATACGATAAAATAAGTGGATCTAGTATCTTTCCCATAATTTTTGATGAAACACAGTCACTCCAAATGGTACTTAATGGAAAGTTTCGATCACGATATGATCCTAATGAGAAACGCTCACTCATTTCTCCAGTTATTCAAACATTTAAGAGACCAACACCGTTATTTTCTGGTCATTGTGCCGTTGCATGTGGTACTGGACTGGGTCTTCTTTCACTTGGGGAAACTCTTGGAAGTTTAGGAATTGCGAAGCCAGACCTTGACATAGATAAATTCACAGGCTTTGGAAGGTGGCGGGACATTGCACATGTAAAGGAATACGTTAGTCGTCAAATAGTACTAACAGATAACGAATATGATCGAATTTATAAACTCTTCCGCGGCCGATTTCGCCCGATTATCACAATTGTGGAAGATGTTATAATGGGTTTATCGATTAATGATGCTATCGATGGACTTTGGGAAACACTAACACATAGTAAAAACGGCGAGCAATCATTATATAAAAAATTGCACGGCATTATTGAGAGGTCACGACCTAATCATTTGCTATCAAATAATGTTCTTGATTTATATAAGAGTTTAACGCTCTCCTATTATTATTCTGGATCACCATATTTGTGTACTGATGAAAGTCAATTTAAAATAATTGAGTCGCAACAAAGCAGGATGGTACCACCAATTCGTAATGTAACCGTACATAGAGAATTAACGCCCATTACACGCACAGCCAAACCGTATAGGAGCAATGTACATAGGGAATTAACGCCCATTACACGCACAGCCAAACCGTATAGGAGCAATGTACATAGGGAATTAACGCCCATTACACGCACCACCGAACCGTATAGGAGCAATATACATAGGGAAGCGGTTTTGGATGTTTCCGGTCGGTAAAGCCACAGACTGCTTCTGAATTGCAACACATATGTAATGATGAAGACATGTTAAGAATTATAAGTGTGAATAAAGAAGCATTAAAACCTGCAGTTCCGGGAAAGGAGATTTTAGTTGCTTACATTGACGAACCATTTGCTCTCACTGCATCTTACAACTTTTTTAAAGACAACGATAGTCTACCAAAAGAGATTCTCAATACAATGACTAAAGTTAACAGTGCGAGTTCATGGGGATTTCTGTGGCAAACATACCTACCTGGGGAATTTGAAGGTTAGGGTTAGGGTTAGGGTTAGGCCAAGGTTGAGTATTATTGAATTTTATTCTTAACGAATGTTCGATGGGCAGAAAAATATAAGAGATATGCCGATATTTTCTGAAATTGTTGATTTACCTAAGTTCTGCAAAGGATCACCGAAGGTTGTCAAACCTTCTGATGTCAATGTACCACAAGTAGTAAACGCAACGACGGGTTATACTCTAGACAAATATTTTAATGTATCACCTGATCTACGTCCAGCTTTTTATTTCCCAGACGATCATTGTGGTCCGGACATTATTTTTTTCGTTGAATTTGAGGAGGTTACAGTTCCTGTTTTCATTCAGGTCAAGCTTCGTTATTCTGTTAAAACAATTGCGGGGGCTCTCAGTTCGATTGACCCAAGAATGTTTTACAGGGATAAAAATGGCGAAATTTTTCAAAAAGAAACAAATAAACCCATTGTTGATAAGGTAATACAACAATGCGAGAAAGGCTCTATTGCCTTATTGGTTGCCTATCCAGCCGATGTGCGCCAAGAATCGTTTGTAACAAACAATTATCCATATGGTCTAAGGGGTCGATTAAACCAGCAACAACTTATCGGCATTATTGATCACAAAAACGCATCGACTGTCTTTCAGGGAGATCATCTGTTGTTTCTAGATACGCTTAAAAACACCATAAAAAAAGAGGTAAAGAAAGTAAAAGAAAAAGTGGAGGAAATCGGAGAAAATAGTGGACTAAGAAAAAAACGAAAGCATTAGATTAACATTAAGTATGAAAAATACAATTTCGTCCTACAACTGATGACTTCGGAAATCGAAACAGGATAAATACATATCTTTTCCTTAAACTATCATAGTGTTTTGCACGCCTGCAACGTTTTTCTTTAAGAATGCGTAATCTATATTACAAGTCTTTACTCGTATATTAGTTGTAGTCATATTAATTTTGCATATATTATATTTTCGTGCCTTTATTATAAACATGGAATTTTATTATTTATACAATTTGTTAGTTTATTTTTTTAAGTGGTGATTCGTCTAAGAACCGGAGAAAATTTATGAGCTTTTGGGGAAGGGAATGTAGTAAATAAATTACATGATTCAGAGAGTAACGCCTGTCAGCAAATTTGCCAGGAACAAAGTTTTATTAATATATGTGAAAAGTAAATACAAAGATGGGATTTTGCCCGCGATTTCTATGCTACCTAAGAACCTATGTTAAATATATATTTTTCACTGACTTCAAAGATTTATTTCTCAGCTTTTCCACATCATAGGTGCAACCGTGAAGAATCTTCACGATCAAAAATCACGTGAGTATTCAGGTCACTAATATCTACCCGCCAGAAAATTTTTCACCCCACGTGACTTTGGCCGGCATTATGAGATTTGGCTGGAATTAAGAAATTAACCATGTGTCGAATAACGTGTGACGAATAGGATTTTAGACACCGAAAAAAATCCAAGTCCCCAGAATACTTATAAAAAATGAGAAAGTGGAGGGATATGACACGAAAAAATTTTCTGGCGATACTAATAAACGCATCCACCTGACCATATGACATTTCGTCACGTGTTGTACGTAAAAAATTTTTATTAATAAGTTCGGTAACGAATAAAAAATCACGTGCGCGTGAACAATTGTTCACGCCGATCACTTTTGCCAAGAAAAATTTTTTATTAATACATGCGAAAAATAAATACAAAGTTTCGGGACGTAGCCCGTGATACATGACGTCTATGCTAGTGTCCTATACAATTATTTTTTCTTGATTATCTCTTCTACACGGCGCTTCTTATTTGCAGGTTCTTCACTAGCTGATACCCTATCTTTTAACAAACCCACTATAACCCCTAAAATCCTCTTCACATTCTTGCGCAAGTCGGTTGAGTCCTTGAGTGCGTCTTCAGTCAGAGAGATGCGATACTCAGTCTTGCTCGTACAATAGATAGCCTCGGTGCTATGTAGAATGAAATACCAGTCCGTGGCTAAGAAATTGTGAGAGTTAGTGATGCAAAAGCGAAACAGAAACCTTCACTAGAGTCATTTTCTCACCTGTTGTGACGATACCATAGACATATTCATACTCCTCGAATGCTTCAACAGCCGTACGCTTTTTCTTGAGCGTATCTAAGTTCATCTATGTTTACAGATGAGGATTTGTTAGTATTTTCTGATAGAAGGATAGTCGAATGGAGGCTAGACATAAAAAAGGTATTGCTTACTTCGCACGAACTTCGACATTGCATAAGGTTCTGAGCCACTCCTTTCCCTGGCTGGTTTTGCTTTCCTTCGGTTATGCATATTATTTCTTCGAGCAAATCATCCAGTATTTTCTTGATCGCATAATCTACACGGCCGGAACTTTCTTCACCAGATACATTCATCTGAGGAAAGATTACCAATCCTCCGAGGATGCTGACAGCAGTATGAAGGATTGTAGAAATGTATTCACAACGCATAGCCTCATTACTATCTACGACTGGCCCCATGTTTTTTATCCTACGAAGAATGTCATCAATGCAGAGCTTAAACTCTGGAGATTTTTCATCGATTGAGTGGGGGACTATAAATTCAGAATACGTGAGTTGCTATTCGTAACGAAAAAGGTTGGCATGTGCATAACTTACCTGGTGTGAACTGGGGGATGCTCGTTATACTACTACTCTTAATGCCGTATTTTTCTCCAAACTGCGGTATGAGGAAAACGCACGCTTCTTTTTCTCCTTACACTCCTTGGCGAAGTCCGCAAGATTTTTTGCAGGTCCAAATCCCAAACCTAAACCCTGGAACTCTTCCTTACTCGTCTTGAGGAAGGCACGGCCATTAACTTTTTCTTTGCGAATTATTTCTAAGTCATCGTCGTCAAGACCTAAGTCCTTTTCCCCACGCAAGAAATCTATAAGCTTGGCTGTGTCATATTTTTTTAATTTCGTCCGCCAACGAGACCGTCTCATTTCCAGCAACAGTAGTGGAGGTGGAAGCTGGAGTATAAGGTGTACTAGTTTCAGACATAGCGTTACGTTTTTATAGTGATAATAGGCTCGGACAAAAAAATAGTGTTACGTTCGGAGTGAGATAAAATTTGGGAAAGGGAATACTGGGTATTAATATAGGTTTTTATGTAGCACAGCATTGCATCATTACACATGACCCATTTCTCATGTACAGTACATTCGATAAAAATAATAATACTTTATTTATGAAATAAATCATTGCCGAACCCGGCCTACAATACATAAAATTTGTGACTATAGCGCTACATGATATAAGACAATTATTCTGAGCCTAAGAGGGGCTGAGCGACGACATGGAAATAGTCTGCTCGGGGTTCTTCATTAAAAAAATTGGAAATCAAATCCTGCGGTTGCATAGGCGCCTCACTGGGGTAAACTTGACGAATTTTTAGGCGAATATTATTAAATGGTGCCCCTAATCTGCTTTGAATTGTAGCTTCAAGTACGCCGACTGCTTGGCTCCTGCCAACTGTAACTACTTGCACGACTTGATCGCGTGGAAGAGCATGAAGTTGGCCACAAGGAACAATAAGACAATGAAGAAATATATTATCTTCGCCGGAAGACATCTTGATTCCTATTTACAAAGCCCATAGTGAGAAAAGACTCGCTCTTGCACTATACATACATACACAACTTCTAGCATATACATACCTTAAATTTTTGCGGGAAAGTTGGCTGAACTTCCACATATCCCTACATGCTTTATATCTTGCTGAGAAAAGATAGGGAGATAAAAATAGTGATTAGTATTGTTGTATGATGCCAAGAGTCCCTTGAAAGCACATGCAAATGGAATCTTCATACCTTTTCACATGGGGATCTACCGGAGAGACGCAAAGGTAGTTAGTTCTTGTAGATCTCGAAATTCCAAAGTCCTCAGCCTTTCATAACATATGTTTTTGCCGTCAGTATTTACTTTTAGAGTTGGTCCTGTGTTGCAACTAGACCTCCTTTCACATTTTCTCACATTTGTTCGGGAAAAAAATATAGGTACTGGTTAGTATTTTTTCTTTTTCGAATATATATGCAAAAATTAATATGTCGCACAAGACCTGACTGATGATCCACTTATTTTTCTGTCGCACAGGAGCGGCCCAGCAAATTCTTCCGAGCTGATGATCACCGCTCCGGACTAGTTGGATCGAACTCCCAGATATTCACTCAGCTCGGGATAATCGAACACGCCTACAATCCTATCCTGTCTTTTATTCTTGACAGTGATAAAGCAGGTTGCCCTATCATATGTGTGCTCATATTTGGCTGGATTGCATAGGGGCAAATATTGTGTGGGATTAGTAGTAAACTTACCCATTGTCTTGCGCCTGTTATTTCTTGATTTTTTAGCCATGCATGATAATTTATCCAATTCAATTAATCTATTCTTTTTCCGAACGAATATGAAAAATAAGGGACATTTTGTCTATATTACTTAACATTTTTTTCAAAATCTTCCAAGCTGAAGATTACCACTCAGGGTTGATGATTATTGTAGGATCGGACTAAAAAAATCCTGCCTCATTTTGGCAGGATCTCGAATAATATATTAATCACATAATTTTAGAAACCAGCTAACATTGAATCAATTTCTGCTATCTTTTAGGCTGAGGTACCAGGCTTGGTGTATTTTCAGAATCAGATATGGGCTCCTTCGATTCTGGATCACCTAAAGCGTAATTTTTCCCCGCATCAAGACGGTTAATTTTATGTCTTAATGCGATTTCTGAAAGATTGTTGAGATGTTGAGGGGTTGGATTTGGACCGGCATGAACCATCGAGGCGTGTTTAGCTCCTATTTTTCTTAGAAGCTCAGGGGTAATCTCATCTTTGTCCTGATTAGTTTTTAAACTCTTTATGAATTTGGCAAATGGCACATTATTACACTTTCCAGTTTCAGTATAAACTGGATCATGCAACTTCCCAGCCTTAATAGCGTCTTGAATCCAGGTAAGTAATTCCCTAGCACGTTCTGGATCCTTTTCCATAAAGAGTAAGCGCATAGGCATCAGTTTATCTCTCTGTTTGCGACATCTAGTGCAATACCAAGAATAACCAGCTTTATACCACGCTGGTAGATCTTCGGAATCTGGTTTGTAATTAATAATCTGGAGAGATGATACTTCAGCAGGCCTCATGCTCAGCATCACTATCACATTTGCGAGATCCTGCATAGAGGGAATTTTAGAAGTATCGATATTCTGGAGTCTCCTAAGTACTTTTTCAAAGGTAAAATATTCTGGGATTCTACCTTGATTAGCCAAGCGCTTCTCAATCCGCTCTTGCTGGATTTTGTTGGAAGCTGTCAGTAGTAGTCTTTGAATCTTTGGCATAGCAATCAATAAATTCACGATCGGCCCCGTACTCTGCTAAATACTTACGAAATCGTGATTGGTTTGAGCTAGAAGCAACCATTTCCTTATCATCAATTACTCCATCCTTATTTCCTTTTAGTCCCAAAGATAAAGTATTAATGAAAATATCCCACTTATCTTCACGCTTTTAGCGACTTCTTGGACCCTTTTCCTGACAGAATATATCTTATTTCTCTGATCTGGCACGAGAGCCCCTATCTGCTCTTTGCTAAATGCACTTCTTTTTTCAGTACCTCTCGCAAGGGTTTTCTTAACGTACTTACGGGCCTTCCAATCAGGAAGTAAAGCATCCAGTTCGGGAGCATATTTGCTTAATTGTTCTAGGGTGAAGTCGGCTGTCAAATTATGCTTTTCTAGGAACTGCTTTAAAACCAATACAAAGTTATTAGCTTTAGGTTTTCAGATCTTTGGGGTAGCCATTTTGGTAGCCATGTCAATAATAAGTAGATTAGTAGAATTTTTTTGGTATATGTACATTAAGAAAATCAAATCTTTAAAATAAAAAATAATTCACATTGTTACCAAAGGTAACCATGTGCCATATTTTTGAATATTTATCAGATCTATAATAAAAAATGAAGGGAAGTTTGACGTATATTAATCTTAATAATTTTTCCAAAAAGAAGTACTATGATCCTTGGTGGAAATACAGCTAATTCATAGGACTCCAAGAAGATCCCTTCTAATTTACCATCTTGGTTTGCCAATATATTAAAAAAGATGGGTCTATCTGCAGGAAAGATACTTGCGTGAGGCCGGGTGTGTCAGACACTATAAGTCTTCACCAAAAAAAATGTGCGCATTCTGTCATAGCCTGACCTATTCTAAGACTGACTTTTATACAATGCATGCCAGACCTGTTTATAAGAAAACTGGCTAGAAAGGCATGAAAAAAAATAAAGATGATTTAGCGCTTATTAATTGATTGTAACTATATCAAAAAGTTCTTGAATCGATTCTGGAAAAATAATATCATTATCTGTTTTTAGCCTATATCACAGGTCAAATGATGGTATATCTGTGAAGAATCATAAACCCGATTCTTCACTGATTCTTTATAGATTGTACTACTATAATAATCTGATGATCATTTCCAATTTTTTGCCTATTAATGTTTAGATTCTGGACAACATCGGTAAACTATTCTTTATAAATATCATTTTTAATTAGTGAAGAATCAGTTTACCAATCGGGTAAATATTATATAAATATCAAACCCGATAGTATCCTCTTTTATACATGATTTTCATTCAATATTTACAGTATTATTTATTTCAATTTACCAATATTAATACCAAAAATTGTTAATATAAAATATTATTATTATTTATTATATACAAGCCATTATAACAAGCAATATTAAGCTATACAAACAATAATATAATACAATACTATTCTTGTCCCATCTATTTACTCATTTTCGATATTTTCCTTCTCGCCAGAACCAATCATTGATTGATGATCATCATTGTTATTATATGATCGAGAGATTGTCCATTCCGGAGCATCTTCAGGTGGCTTAAAATTATCGCACCATTTTTTATCTTCATACCAACGGCGATGAAAAACTTTTACATGGCTTATTGCCAACGCTATCAGATAGACAAAGTAATTCACGAACCTATTGAATAAAAAAAAATCAATAATCAGTATCGATAAAATGATGAATTACGCAAACTCGAAGCAAATAAGCAATTTACTTATACGACCCGACCTCCAGGGTTTGTCATAAACATGAAGAATATGTTTATCTGTTGTTTTTTTATTTTTTGGTCAGATATTCATATTGACTTCTTTTTGGGCAAGTTCATCGTCAGTTTCAGACACTTCATTGCTATGGAATTCGCTTTCATTCATCAATAATTCACAATCGTCATTGAATTTGTCCTAAGATAAAGATGATGGTTTAAGCTTGCTAAGTAAATTATCTTTGGCATTAAACATGTAGATCAAACCTTTCTAGCGTCTTTCCTTTTTCTATCTGAAGTAAATGAATCGATTAGTGACAAGTTTTAACTTGCTAGACTAGTTTACCAAAGTACTTACATCGCCTCTACGAGAATTGATTCCTTTTCTTATTTTTCTGACTTTGCTTTTTCTGGATCAAGATTAATCCTCCAATTTTCATGATGGTGACGATGCAATTGTTGCAAAACCCATTTCAGTTCCGTGTCTTTGTATTGAAATCTTCCCTTCATAGCTTTATCAATCTCTTTCATTATATTTTTTGCAACATGTCGGGCAATATCAATCCATTTTTTAGTATGGTCCAGTTGCAACGTGTTATCAAGACCACTCAAGATCTGCACTACTTCATCCTTAATTCAAAAAAAGGTTAGTAATATTTAAGAAAAAAAAGAAATAGTAATTATAGTAAAAAATAACTTACATGAAAATTCTTACACAGGTAAAATAATGATTAATCAGGTACCATCCTAATTGGTATATATTTTTCCAATCAGATTAAATAGTTATCAATTGGATAAAGTTTCAAATCAGATATCAATCAGGATATAATCTGATTTATAAAATATAATTCAATAGGTATACCGATTAGTTTCAATTTATTAAATAGTAATATAATAAAATATTTATAGTAATTATATTAAAAATAAGACTATTTCTATTTATTGGCTAATTTTTTCGATTTTATTAATTTAATTAATCAATAAAAATTTGACTTTATTAAATCACACTACATAATGTTTTGATACAAAGATGTTATAATACATAAGGAAAGAACAAAAAAAAAATGCAATAAGGAAGAATAAAGTGAAAGATCAAGGGAGAATAAAGGGAAGAAAATAACGAAAAATGATAATAAAAGCGAAATACAATAAAAGGTGATGATGAAAAATGAAATATAATGAAAGTTGATGATAAAAAGCAAAATACAACGAAAGGTGATGATGAAAAGCAAAATAAAATGAAAGTTGATGACAAAAAACAAAATGCAACAAAAATTAGTTATTAAGAATGAAATATAACGAAAAGTGATGATGAAAAATGTGAAAATTGAGGATGAAAAGTGAAATACAATGAAAGGTGATGATGAAAAGCGAAATGTAATGAAATTTGATGATAAAAAATAAAAGATGACAAAAAAGAGATAGATAAACAATAAAGGGTGAAGGGAAATGAAAATGAATAAAAAAAAGTAATAAAATAAATGAAAAGGAATAAAGAAAATAACAGGTAAATGAAAAGAAACAAAGGAAAACGAAAATAAACAAAAAAAAAAAAAAAAAATGAAACAAAGGGACACGAAAATAAATAAAAGGAAAAAATAAGTGAAAAAATAAAGGAAGAACCGAAATATCCACCCATAAAAAAAGAAAAAAAAGAACTGGTTAATATTGTCTTAAAGCAGTTAGCAAATAAATCTAAAATAACTGAATGAAAAAGACTCACCTTGAATTTCTGCTGAAATGAAAACTGAAAACAGTTGCACCTAAAAAAGAAAAGAACGAGTTACAAAAGAAAGGAAAATAGAAGTGAAAAAAAAAAGAAAAAAAAAAGAAGAAAAGACTTACCTATTTGAATTCCAAAGCTAAATTACAAAAAATTTCACATTTAAATTCCGATTATTTAAAATAGTAATTCTTACATTATTATTTTTCAATAAATAAAAAGATTCAAATAATTTTTTTTATTGTTCGATTAATTAATAATTAATAAAGTGTGATTATAAAAAATTATAAATGAAAATGCCTGTTAATTGGAATTACAGCCATAAATGTAACAGGATTCCTTTGACTTACTATAAATTTACTAGGTATAAATCGGCTATAAATATGATGAATTGGTATAATACTATCCCTGCCAATTTCATAAAACCTATTTTTCCAAAGCTCTATATTACAAATATTAATATCATTTTCAATCTGACAATAAAACCTTTTTTGATAGTTAGGTGCTGGTAAATACCATTTAACAAAGGCTAATTTATGGGTTTGTTTACTACTTGGAAGATTGACTTCATGTTCAAGGTAATACTGCACTTGTCCAGAAAACACATCAGCTACATTATTATCTTGAACAAATTTTGCAAGAATAAATGAATTCTTATAAAAACGAGGCGTATTTGCTGATCCAAAAATTTCAGCACCAATTCAGATACATCCATACTGATTAATGATTGGCCGAACAACAATTGGATGTCTGGATTGTAATCTGCTTTCTATTGAATCAGCTATAGTAACAAATTTTAAATTATACACATTATTGTAATAATCTACCAAAAGTTTATATATATTATTTGGCAGAATCACATCTTGTTTTCTTGGTGTCATTATCTCTCTGGGAAACTGTTCACTACCAGTTATTGTATCTTCAACTTCAAGGCTATAAATTAATCTAAATCGGTACAATTCATCCCATTCAAAATTATCATATGCTAATAAACTTCCTGTTGTTAGCCAGGATTTTACCAATTTTAATCCTTCAACTAATTTTGAATTATTTAATTGATTGGATATTAGGTCATCCAATCACCAATTTTGCATAATAATCCTCAATAATTCTGGTTCAATTTGGCGGTAAGAATTTGGAAATGATCCTTAATAATAAAATGAAATTAGTATATATTTAATCAATATGACCCAGTCACCAGTTCTTAATTATTTACCTAATAGTCCATTCATTCGTTCAAATGAATAACACCAAAATGAATATAAAGGATTATAGTCCTAACAGCATTCTGAAATGTAAAGGGAAAGATGAATATTTGGTGTAATCATTTCTGGTCTATAAATATTTTCGATTAACTGAGCAACCTTTAATAATCAGTTATGTGCTTCAGTTAATTTGCTTTCGTCAATAATGCGTAAAACCAGCAAGTAATATGCCCTAACAAAATTAGCCAAAATCTTCTGATCAGGATCGTTTAACAAATCCCACATCAATGGAGTCGCATAAATTAATATAAATGACCTCCATTGATCGGCTATAAATCCAGAGAATCCCTCTCCAGTTGATATTTTAGAAGGAATTCTTTCTAAATCAGCTGGGATTTTAATTTGTTTTGCACGAGATTCCATTATTTCTAGGTGAGATTTAGTAAGTTTCCCACTATCAATCCATATTTTTTTAACGATCCAGTGGGAAATTCCCAGAAATAAGCAGTACATCGGATTTACGATCAGATGCCTGATCAGATTATGATAGGTAATCTAAGCATTTCAGACCACCTTACATGGGTAGCCCTGACGTGCTGTTTCCTATCTTTTTTGGTTAGTTTATATTTCCAGAGGATGGCATTATGCCGATGCTCTTCTGGATCTCGCATTTTAAACCAATTGGGCATATCTTCAAATCCTGCACGCTTGTAACATCTGTGGCAACCAGCTAATGCTGATATATGGCCACATAACTTTTTTGCAGCTGGAATGTCATTGCTGCAACAAATTACAGCCAATCGAATTCTCTTTCCTGCTGGATTTATCTCTGTTTCTGGCAAATCAACTCCATCCCACAATTCCAATAATTCATTAACAATTGGCTGTAAATAATTGTTAATTTGATGTAATTTGACTTCATGGGGCCCTGGTAGTAATCCCAGAATAAAGATGCATGTCGTAAATAAAGAATTTTGACATGTCGAAAATGTCAAAAAAAAATAAACAATTCGTCAATGCAAATCAAAATGGTAAAAAGCCGAAATAAATTCGTCAAGTTGAAATTGGCAAAATTGTCGAAATAATGATTGGCTGCAGATCAACATTTTTTTGTGATGTAATGATGTGGCTGGCAAAATTGAATATAAATAAACACGTCATAAAATCAAAAAAAAAAATATTTTTCTTCTTGATTTCACACGAAATATTATCAAATATTTTTTTGTTTGAATATGTCGAAAACACCTTCTGCTATTCTCAATTCAAAGATTTGTGGAAAAAAAGCTTTTTTACCAGACGATATTATTGAAAATTCAGTTTTAACAGTGCTTTCACATATTTGGACAGTAACAAATAAAAAAATTGATTCGTGTGTTTTCGAACAAGATAAAGTGAGAATAATATTTAAGAAGAATGAAGATCGCACGTATATTTGACTTACAAGAGTTGTCATCAAGTTTTACGTTCATCAATAAGGTATAAGATTTCCTCGTTTTTGGACAACTTTGTCCACTTTTTTTCATTTTGGATAATTTTGTCCACTTTTTTATTAGGTTTGGACAATTTTGTCCACTTTTTATCGGGTTTGGTCACTTTTTACGGGTTTGGACAATTTTGTCCAATTTTTTTCATTTTTGGTCATTCATTTCTGTCCACTTTTTTTCATTTCCGGACAATTTTGTCCACTTTTTTGTCATGTTTGGTCACTTTTCTATGGGTTTGGACAATTTTGTCCACTTTTTTTCGTTCTTGGTCATTCATCTCTGTTCGCTTTTTTTTCATTTCTTGACAACTTTGTCCACTTTTTTATTGGGTTTGATCACTTTTTTACAGGTTTGGACAATTTTGTCCACTTTTTTTCGTTGTTGGACATTCATCTCTGTCCACTTTTTTTTTCATTTCTGGACAACTTTGTCCACTTTTTTTTTTATTTTTGGACAATTTTGTCCATTTTTTCCTTGGTATTAGAACAATTACATTTTTTCTGAATAAAATATTTTATTTTTTTAGGATAGTTTGACTGAACTCGAGAATTACAAGAATCTATATGAATTATACAAAAGTAAATATGATTCAGTATTGAATAATAATGCTAAATTACAGGTAAATATAAATTATAAGAATGATGTTTGGTTTTTAATTTATAAAATTTATATCTTACTTTTTTTATTATTTAATTTCTGATAATAGAACGAATTGCAAAAGTACTTTAATCTTGAATTAGTAACGCCAGAAAATACGCGTCCAGTTAGTGTTGGTACAGCTGATACTATAATTTCAGATATGGATAAACCATTAAAACAATTGTTACAGTATTCAACACCTGAACATTTACCTGAATCCACAACATCAACTCCCTACTCAACATTATATCACGAAATTAATGACTCAGAACTTGCCCGTGCTCTGAACTGTGATTTAGCTTTAAATCACCTCACAACTCTTGATAAACCATCAAAAATTTGGTCAAATCTAAATAATCGTTGCATTGAAAAATTTGGCAGCCAAAATTGCATAAAAAATAACGCTACCATTTCAAATATAACATGGGCCAAAACAACATTGTCAGGTTACCGCAACTGGAACATGATGCGAAATTATTATGATGATATTGATAAGTGGATAGTAAAAATTAATAACTTCTGTAAGTAAAATTTATCAAATAAAATTGTTCTTGATTACAAAATCTTATAATTATTCACATCTAAATTTTATAGGTTTTGTTGAAGATGAGGTTAATGATTCTCAGCCTATAAGTGAAGAATCAAGTAATCATGAAAGTACCAAATTAAAATCACCTTCGCAAGCACTACTAGCAAGTACCAAATTGAATCCACCTTCACAATCGCCACTAGCAGCTGATGAAAGTACCGAAGCTAATAAAAGTACCGAATTAAATCCACCTTCACAATCGCCACTGGCAGCTGATGAAAGTACCGAATCTAATGAAAGTACCAGATTGAATCTACCTCTATCAACAAAAGTACCAACAAAAAAGCTACCAGCAAAATCACAAGTAAAATCACCTACATTAAAGTCAGTAGAAAAAGTACCAAATGTGGAAGTGGCAGTAGTAGTAGAATCACCAACTTTCGAGCCATTAATCTCAGAAGTAGCAGATAAATCTCGAGTAATACATACATCAATATCAAAGGTATTAACAAAAAAATGTAAGTATGAGTGTGTTGAAGTTTCAGTTTCTTCAGAAGAGGATAGTGAAAGTGATCATGATGATAATGATGATGATAAAGCTATTGTAAATGAAGAGTTAAATTCTACTCAGATGCTTTTGTTTATTAAGGAAAGGAAACTATGTGAAATTTTGCTGGCAAATGATGAACATTTCGTTGCCTCAGAAAAATCAAAAACTACTGAAATATTTACTGCATTGGCTGAGTTATCAAAATTTGAAACAATTAAAGTAGTTGACAAGGAATCTGCTACTAAGAGGATAAATCAATGGAGGAATCAGGAAACGTATTGTGAAAAGCTGCTAATTGCGGCTGAATCTTTTAACTTATTGCATTTGGCGTCGTTGGTCCAAATTTATGATGATCTTACAAAGCTCAGTTCAGAATTAGAAGTTAAAAATGTAAAATCTTAGGTTATTTTATTCATGCGATCTATACTTAAAATTGGCAGAAAAGCCAAACAAAGAAATAGGCTGGGTTGTGATAGGTTACGTAGGTTATTTAATGAAGGAATAACAGCTGCGCAACTTGCGCAAGCAGGTTGTCGCAAATGTGATTTTTTTGTTACAAAAGAAAATTACGAAATATTTTTATCACAAATTCCTTCTTTATAAACTCACTAATCAATTACTTCGAGCATGTCAGTTGAACGTATATCAGAAATCATTGAGCCAAAACAAAAGTGAGTATAATTATTTTAAAGCATAATTAAATTATAAAATGTAAATGTAAAGTTATATGCATTAGAATATAAAATGCAAATTGCAATATTTTTTTTATAGCAATTAAAAAATAGTTTTATTTTGACAAATTTATCCAATAATATATATTATATGTACGCTATAACTTAGTAATTTTATTCAGAAAGTGGACAAAATTGTCCAAAAAGACATTATGCTACTGATAAATTAAGTAATTTTATAATAAGATCAATTTTATAATAGGCGACACGTTTAGGATTAGTAGTACAAAACGCATAATAATTAGAGTGGACAAATTTGTCCAAAAAGCAATTATACTATAATAAGATCGCGTTTAGGATTAGTAGTATAAAACGCATAATAATTAGAGTGGTCAAAATTGTCCAAAAAACCATTATGCTATAATAAGATCAATTTTATAGCATTTAGGATTAGTAGTACAAAACGCGTAATTAATAAGAGTGGACAAAATTGTCCAAAAAAAAGTTTTTGAAAACGCGCAAACTCTTTTTAATTTCTTTAATTTTTTCATTTCAGATATATATATTTTTTTCTTCTAGTCTCACACAAAATGGATTTGCCTTTCGAACTTAAGCTTCTCAAAAAAGGTAGACCAAAAGATGACGTATGGCAATATTATTTAGAAGGGGAATGTGATTCACAGGGACACGCAAGTGCTGTATACACTTATTGTAATATAAAATACAGCAGGGGTGAAACTTCTCTTCTTAAGGGTCACCTTGCTAACCACTGTATGAAAGCTCCAGGAAATGTTATACGAATGTATCAACGTAACTTTGAAGAAAATGCCAAAAAAAAAATGAAAATTAATGGCCAATTAACATTAAATGAATTTCATGATAAAGATCAGCCACTTCCAAAGGAAAATCTGATATAATCGATAAAGCGCTAATGAGATTTTTTATCTGTTGTGGTGTATCATTTCGAATAGTCAAATCACCATTTTTTCTGGATTTTCTTCAAGAATTAAATTCGGTATATAACCCTCCTTCTCGTGATATTTTGACAAATCGTTTATTTGAAGAAGAATTAGGATATGTTAATTCCAAGGTTTTAAGAGAATTGGAAGCCACAAAAAATTTAACCTTAGGTATTTAAAATTTTGTTTATTCTCATTTTTAATATACTTTTTTAATAAAATTTTTTTATTAGCTTTGGACGGGTGGTCCTCTCTGAATCACCTTTCAATATGGAATTTTACAATCTTGATGCCAACAAATAAAGAATATATTTATCAACTTTAGATTTATCTAGTAATTTCCATACAGGTGAATTCATCGCAGAAAAAATAGAAGATATTCTAATTCGTGTTGGTGCTGAAAAATTTTCCGCTATAGTAAGCGATAATGGTTCTAATGTGCGAAAAGCACGTGGAATTATTCAAAGCAAGCATCTATACATTGAAGATGTTCAGTATATTTCACATTGTGTAAACTTAATATCTTGCGATATTGTAAAACATCCGTTTGCTGAAAATCTACTAAAAAAAATCAATATATTGGCGAATTTTTTTCGAAACAATGCAATGGCAGGTATGAATTCCCAGATATTAACAATTTTTTTTTAGTTTAACTTACTCTAATTACTATTTAACTAGGAGTTAAGCTTTGTGAACTTATAAAATCAATGAATGTTAAAGGCGGTGGAATTGTCCCATTTTGCAAGACCAGATGGACTACAGCATTTCAAAGTATTTCAGATATTATAAGGCTAAAAGCTGTTCTCGAAGAAGTATGTAAAAAGTTACAATTTTAATTACTATTATATATATATCACTTATTCTTTAATCTTTATTACAGTTAGCTAGTAACTATTCAAACATTTTATCAAATGAAAAAATCAAACCAATTATTCGTTCATGGAACTTTTTCAATGACTTGAAGGTTCTCGCATTTATTTTAAAACCCCTTCGTGATACTATACTATTATTAGAAAGAAGTTCAGCTAACTTAAGTCTGTTATCTTGGAATGGCTTGTATCACGGCTTCCATGAAAAAATTACCAAGAACCTTCAATCAGGAATTCAAAAATCATTGTATTTCAATGATTAATAAAAGACTTGAAGAGTTTGATGATGACAATTATTTACTAGCATTTTTTTTACATCCTCGCTTTCGTTAGTATATTAATTATTTTAATTATTCAATTTTATTATAAAATATTTAAATAATACTAATTAAATATAATTAATTAGGCACTTGCTTAAAATATGGTGTTTGGCAAAGAATAGTGATAATTGCTGGAAAAGTAGCTAAAAACGCGGGAATGGACTTAGAATGCTCTCGCATACTTTGTTCACAACTTTTAATGTATAAAAATAATGAAACCAACCTTATTCTAATGGAATTGATGATCCAATCAAATGGTGGACAAGTATGGAACTAGAACCACCATATCTTCAATCACTCGCCTTACGATTATTTTCTATTTACCCAAACTCTGCATCATGCGAACGGGGTTTTCTATGTGTGGCTGGATATGTAATAAAAGATGGCTTCGGCTTGGAGTTGAACGTTTAGAGTCAATAGCAAAGATAATATCGTATTATCAATCAAATGCACATTCAGAATTCGGATTTTATGGAAAGGGTACGAAGAAAGAGTCAGTAAAATTAAGCGATAGTGAAATAAATACTATCGTTAATAATAGTTTAGCAGAACTAGAACCTGAAGAAGAAGACGATGATGAAGAGATCATCAAGGAAATACAAGTTCGAAGAACAACTGACAGACATCCTATTCCAAATAACCAAGTTGTAGTATTAATCGAAAATACTATAAATGTATTGCATCAAAACATTATTGATGGTTTGGATAAGGATTTTTTGGAAGATGATGATAATTTAATCGAGGATAATTTGAATAATGACGATAACGAAAACAATAATTGCGACAATGAAAATGATAAGGAAGAAACTGGAAGAGGGATTATAAACTATAATGTAGAAGATTTGGCAAAAGAATTTGTTGATAAATGACGATATATTTTTTTTTTTGGCAATTTTTTCTTATTTTGTAGGCAATTTTTTTTGGACAATTTTGTCCAAATTTCATACTTTGTAATTTTTTTTTGGACAGTTTTGTTCAAACTTCGTACTTTTTAGATTTTTTTTTCACATTATTTTGTCCAATCTTTATAATTTTTTAGCGATTTGTCTATTTTTTTTTTTACTTTTTTTTTGGATAATTTTGTCCAAATTCCATACTTTGTAATTTTTTTTGGACAGTTTTGTTCAAACTTCGTACTTTTTAGATTTTTTTTTCACATTATTTTGTCCAATCTTTATAATTTTTTAGCGATTTGTCTATTTTTTTTTTTACTTTTTTTTTGGA